AGCACAGCGGATCGCAAGCAGAGCCCAGCTTCTGAAACACGATTCCAATGCACGGGAGTCACGGGGCAAAACTGATCACTTGTGTTCAGCCAGGTTGGCTCTGAGGGGCTGTTACTGAACAGTCGTAGCAGTCAGGAAAGCACTGCCCGTTCCTCCCCGGGAGCAGGCTGCATACTGGAATAGCGACATGCTCTGTCCTTGAGTTAAGCAGGAAAATGCTTTGAAATGGTTCTTACTGGCTTATTTAAAACTAGGGGCATTTTTTTTTTTCACCCTATCCAGAGTCTGCGTTGTGGAACCACCGGAGTGGTGACTTTCATCCGAGGAAACATGCTGCACGTGGCTTGGCTTGGGGACTCCCAGGTTATGCTCGTGAGGAGAGGCCAAGCTGTGGAACTGATGAAACCCCACAAACCAGATCGAGAGGTGAGAACGGCCTGTTTTAAATACACCCGGGCAGTGTTTACCGCTGGAGCTGACAGGTATCAGCTTTACGTGGGATGCTGGGACACCGCGTGTTGCCTTGCCAATGTCTCTTGGAGCGGCAGCGTAGGTTCCAGTTATCCTATTTTGTCTGGAAGTCGGTATGGATTTGTATGCAAATCCTCTGTTCTCATCTGGTGGGGCCTGCAGCCTCCCCCACACCGCGATTGTGAAAACACCAAATATTTATTGAAGTGTTCAGAGTGCGATGGCAGCACGAAGCGCTCCGTCCAAACAACTCCTGTGTTGCCTTGCTGTTTAGGATGAGAAGAAGCGCATTGAGGCACTTGGCGGCTGTGTGGTCTGGTTTGGAGCCTGGAGGGTGAATGGGAGCCTGTCAGTCTCCAGAGCTATTGGTAAGAATGGGCTTTAATTCCTTTCTCAGACTCGCTTTTCTTTTTAATTAAAACTTTTAATTTTCTGTGATCAAAACTTGAAATGCAGCTGAAGGTAGATCTGTGAGCAATGGCCTCTATTTTTTTTCCTCTACAGTTTGAGGGAATAATTTCCAAATAATTTAACTTGGGGTAAGAGTCACTGGCTCCACGCTGTGTTAATAAAAGGGCTTCCAGATGCTGTGACTGCAAACCCACGGTCTTGTGTATCTGTGTGGTTTTTTTTTCCACAGGGGATGCTGAGCACAAGCCATATATCTGTGGGGATGCAGACTCTGCCTCCACTGTACTGGATGGCTCTGAAGACTACCTCATTTTAGCCTGCGATGGCTTCTATGACACAGTCAATCCCGATGAGGCAGTCAAAGTGGTGGCTGACCATCTAAAGGAGAATAACGGCGACAGCAGCATGGTAGCACACAAATTAGTGGCGTCTGCTCGGGATGCCGGTTCCAGCGACAACATTACTGTCATTGTGGTATTTCTCAGGGACATGAACGCAGCAGTCAATGTTAGCGAGGAGTCGGACTGGACAGAGAACTCTTTCCAAGGTGGGCAGGAAGACAGCGGGGAAGATAAGGAAAACCATGGAGACTGCAAACGCCCATGGCCCCAGCACCAGTGCTCAGCACCTGCAGATCTAGGGTACGATGGACGAGTGGATTCCTTCACCGACAGAACTAGCTTAAGCATAGGGTCCAGCATCAACCTGTTTGATGATCAAGGCTATTTAGACCTGACAAAACCAGAAACTAGTACACCTCAGAGTGCCAAATGTCTGCCACCAATTCAAGTGTTCAGTCCTGGCATACCAAAGAGCGCGAGTTCGATCCACGGCTTAACAGTGAAGAACGAATCACCAGAGTGCACCACGTCATCGATCTGTGGACAGAGTGATCCCAGGGAGTACAACGCTCCTCTCAGTTTGGGTGCTGCGGGGCAGAGCATCTACAGGGTGAAGGGTTTATCCCCCATCTTCTTTGGGCTGGAAGACGAACTGTTCAAATCCTTGGGAAAACGAGCTGCGTTCTTTCGCTTCCGGCTCTGTAATGGGAAGAGGCGACGAGGAGCCAGGCTCAAACCAAAGTTTCACACGCCGCTCTTGGCTCGTGAGCCTTCCCATATAGAAGGATCGAGCCTGTCCTTACCCGTCCGGGGCCGCGGTAGCACGAGGTTGTCGGTAAGACACTCCCCGTGGTGGAGGCTGGCTAGTCATAGCGCTTGCAGCGAGAGCATGTTTTTGATGCGAAGACAAAGTAATTGTATACCAGATTCATACCTTCATCAATGCTGTAAAATGTAACCATCTCCCTCGTGTTCCCCCGTCAGACTCCCAAAATAGACATTCCCCAAATAAAACTGGCATCGTCAGAAAGCGAAAAAAGGTGGGCATTTCAGAACTGCACTCCAGTCCCCTGCAAAGCTCAAACCACGTGTAAATAGATCTAGGAATTAACAAACATAGTCGTTTCAGTCTCAATAAAGTTTGCTGGTGGTGCCACCCTGAGCAATGCCACAGCCACCCGACCACCCGCACACGCAAGTATCGAGCCACATTCACCAGTGAAAGCCAAAGAGCTGGTTGGTGTGAACAGACACGGTTAGGGAACGGCCTTTAACAACACGGAAAGCTGAACCTGCCCGAGCTGCGTCTGTGGAGCAGTGTGTCCAGAAAGAGTCTGGTTTAGGACTGCCAAATCTTTTTCGAGTGGGGGGGAAGTTTCCGTAGAAGTCAAGGTGTGGGGGGGATTTTTTTGTGTTCTGCTTTCTGTTTATTTCAGGCGAGCATTAAGATGAATTAGAAAATTACATCCACTTTTGCAGGTAAAAGACTAAAAGCCATACAGGGTTTTACCAGGTAACTTCGGAACGGACAAACTAAGCTCCTGCTACTCTGTTCTCAGACGCCGACTGAGGTACAGACTCATGATTTACCTATTTTTTTTTCATGTAACATAAAATGTGGAATATGAAGAAAACTTTTTTGTAGTTTTTAAAAAAATTATTTCCTATGGCTAGAGGGGCAGTGTAGGGAATTTCGTATCTTTCTGGTGCTTTTAGTGGCATTTTTCTCGTTTGTCAGTTTAGGAAACTGTTCTCAATTAGTTTGAATCGAACATGATTGTGCTTAATGCTTTGAGCCAACCTCTTTCCACCGTAACTTCATCTCAGGTCTTAAAAGAAACCAATCTGTGGAGATTTTTCAGTACAACACTTCCGTCACTCAACCAGTCAAACCAGAGAACTGCTTGCGAGAGATAATGAGCAATTTGATGAGCTGTTTGGTTTCGGTAATGATTTCTAGATGGCAAAGGCATAATTTAATACGAAGGTGCAGCATGAGGGGTGGTAGGACGCTGTGTCTGCAAGGAGCGGTATTCCAGCATGTGTAGGAGCGGAGGCCGGGCTGCCGGAGCAACCCAAAGCGGACGGAGGCGCCGTGGACGCGGGGGCTGCACTTGGGCGTTAGCGGAGAGGGTGGAACTCACCGACGGGCCAGAGCTCTGCTCTGGTTAAACCTGGGTCGGGAAAGGGAAGTGAGGAATGTCCATTGCCCTTATTTTCCTAAGCGGAGCGTTACTTATCAAATTGGGAAAGAAACCGTACCCACCAGCTCTTCCCTGCTCTCGAGGTGACGTTAAACCCTTAGGGGAGCGGTTAATTGGGACCTAAGTCAGCAGACGGTTCCCATCGCTCCACTAAACCCACATCCTGTTACTACTCTTCGTTACAATAAGACATTTGGAAGAGTGTGGATAAAGTCAGTCTTCATAGGCATTTATTGTCCAATCCATATCACTTTAGCGGTAACAGTTTACTAACAGTATTAGTATTTAGCTAGAATTTGCCAAGTATTTTAATATTAAGTAGTCAGGAGATTATTCACCACGGGGAGATGGCAAGGTTTGAATTCTGCCAATTTCCGCTTCTTCTGTCTTTCTGATGCACTTTTTTAAAAGCAATCTGACAAACAGCAAAAGGCTTCGTTGAGTATCCAGGAGTTGGAGTGTGGCTTTAGATTCCTTTGATCTTTTCCAGGCTTTTTTTTTTTTTTTTTTCACTCTTACGGGATCATTGGCTCTTATCTGTCATCCTATTAAGCCTTAGCTGTTGTCAACGTTCTCTTTAGCTGCAGCATACGTTCCAAGTCAGATTTACTGAGGAAATTGGAGAAACCATGAAACGGTAAAATATGCAACTCCGGGGCATCTCTGCGGTGCCTTTGTTTTAAATTATTCACAGTAATAACGACGCATTGCAAGTCCATCTTATAGCTGACTGCCGTGCTTCGGAGAGAAAGGCGGTGTAAGTGCAATTCTTTGTGAGTGTAAATGGGACTGAGAAACCGTTACGGATGATAAAACTTCTTCCCAGTCTGCAGGAGCAGTTGAAGAGCGCTGGACTGCACGCGTGCTGCTTTGGGAAGGATCTAGCTTTTTAGGTGTGGATTCATAAACGGTAATTCCGCGACTCATACCATGTATCTTGCTAGGAGAAAAAAAAAATAAAATCTACCATCGTAGTTCCAGTGTGGTCAGGTAAAAAACATTGTATAGATAGCGAGTGTTCATTTCGTCACTAAATGCATATTTATAGAGTAGATAGGAACCATTTGTAAGGTAAGTCCTTTCAAGTTCTATACTATTAAAGTAGTGGTTATTGGTCTGATATATGCTGCTCTTGATTCTACACCCTAGACAAAACAGCAGTGCTTTGTGAAATGCAGTGTTTTCTCTTAATGCCACTGGTGATAGGAAGTAGTTCTCTTCAGTTCACAATCCTGTGCCCTTACTTGCTGCTTGCTAACGTAAGCAATAATCCCTCTCTACTGGTATCTAAGTGTTCTGTATCTCGTACTTTGATTGTCTATCTGGTGACAGTGTGAAAATATTAGGCTAATATAAACGTATCTAATTGTATTTATTAACTGTTGATACTGAGATTCAGTCTGTGACCTGTGTTTTGTATTTTTATTGTGTATCTTAGTGGTGGTGAAATTTGTATAACGAATCTTTCCAATAAAGAGCTGAAGTATCCCTTTGCCGCGTTAACACAACCCGCATCAGTTTCAGTTTACGTGTTAACCGTGTTTGCAGAACTAGGAGGTAGGTAGTGAAAACATTTTTATTTTCTTTTTCAATTGTGTTGGTTTTGAGAGATGGGCTCCAGGCCGCTTGTCTGAAGCTGCTCAAAACTCGCTCGTAAGCTCTTCACTGTGAGTACTGGCGGGATGCGCTCCATCCCCACGCCGGGAGTTTCCCGTGTACGCTTTTTAAACGCGCAACTCTGAGGAATGTCTGCGTTGCAGAGAGCAGTCTAGCACCAGACCAGGGAGCTGTTAACCCCTTTCGATTTGCACTAAAGGTGGGTGGAAACGCATGTAAATAACTTTTCTTTACCTAGAAGTGCCATCAATTGTCCTTGCAAGTTAAAACCATTCGGTATTTGATTTAGATTGCATTGTAACACTGAAGGACAATGTCAAAGCAGACTTTAACTTACGCCACGTTTCTAGTGGTGCCTCCTCAAAGAAACTCCGCTCTGTTTGTGGAACACTGTGTCGGTGAGAAACGCCTTGTCCTACGGGCAGATAAGACGAGGCGTAGCGAGGTCTGTGCTGGTAGACGTGGCTGCTGTAGTTCAGGTGCACTATCTCCTCACTAGATCCTCCCGACCCTGGCAATGTTCTGCAGGAAAAAAAAAAAAAAAAAAGAGAAAGATTGGTCTAAATTAGGGGCTGTTTTAGCACAATTTATTCACTCGGCACTAGTCACATAAACAAAGCCATCCAAGGGGATACTGCAGCTTTGTTCATGCCTGTAATTTAGGGCAATCTTTCTTTAATTCACATCCTCTTTGCAACAGGAACAAAACTTTCTACCCTTGTATCACGTGCAATAAGTAATAACGAAGCATTAACACAACCTCTGACTTAGATGTTCGTATCCTTTTCCAGCCCTCGCTAATCAGGCGATCGCTCTATTACTTGCCAGCATTAATGCTAAAGAAAAACCAAACCCCCCCTTAGGGTCTGGTACACCCATTGTACGTCGCTGTTCCATTTCGTTAGTTTTTTTTTTTTTTTTTCCCCCCTCTCCTTCACTCTAGAAGACATTTTGGAACAGGAACGGGGAAGCTGGCCGAGTCGCCCCCGCGTGAGCACCCGAGCCGCAGGCCGGGCGCGCTGGCTGTTGCCGCACCGGGTGCTCCCCTCGACCTTTCTGTGTTACCTTGCTCACGAACCGTGTTCTTCATGAAGGGAATAAGTTCAAGCCAGCCATTCAGCAGCGTGGGGACGCGCCCTTCGCGATCTTGTTCTCCACTTCACATACGAGTTTAGTTATAACCATGTATTAGTCATCCATATTTTATTTATGAAAGCTGTTTATACAGAAAAAACTGTTGGAAGTTTTACCAATATCTTAATAAAACAGTAATTTAAACCACACTTCAGGTAGTCTGTTTATTTAAGAGCTAACACAGATAGCAACCAACAGCGGCGCTAAGTGTCTTTACCGTGGTGAAAGCAGAACTCCTTTGCGTGACGCGCGACAGAAAATGCTGCCGAGCAGCCCTGGCCTACGCGCTGCCCCTGTAGTTACCCAGGGCCCCCGGCAGCCCCGCTCCCGTCTGTTTTACAGGCAGAAAGGGCAGGTTACTTTGATAACTAGGTCTTCCAAGGCTGGTTCCCCACCTCGTGTTTAAAATGCAGCTCTAGCTAAGTAAGTTCTTCCTAAGGCGAGCAAAGCATGACGGTACTGGCTCCCTTCCCATCCCTGCAAAGGTTGGACACCAACTCCGGCGCAGATCCTGTGGCTAATCAGAATAATTTCCTTCAGCTTGGGCCTCTTATTAAGAGTAAAGCATCTGTGAGTGTTGAAGAGGCAGAGCTCTGTGATTAGTGCTAATTGAGCTGTGTATAATAATCAACACGCAGTCCTGTACAACAGTAAACACTCCCACCGCACTATCGCAGCGTGCCGCTCGTCACGGGCCACCTCAGCGGGAGCAGGCTGTGCCCAGGGCAGCTGGGGGCTGCTCCTGCCTTTCGCCGAGGGGCACAGAACCTGACTGCACAAAGAACAAATTACGGGCAAAAGCTGTGGCCCCTCCTCAACTCCAGTCTGAATACACAATAGATAAGCATTTGGTCTGGCTTTTACAAACACAGCTTGAAAAATCCCAGCTGGATTTAAGCACTTTACATTGAATAATTCAGGAAAAAAGTGGCAGGTGTATGGCAGGAAAAAGTTCCCCTCTGAGCAGCCGGGTGTTACAGCACCCCAGTACTAACGAGCAAGCCTGGCTTGGCCTAACAGCCATTCACGACCATTCTACTTATTTACACACAAACACCTACAACTTCACACCAGATTTCAACATTCATTTTATTAACAAAGTGCAAACAGTTTTAAACTAGGAGTTGTACAGCACGTACACCGTGGAACATTCATACAGGAATGAACGTCAGTACAGCCAGCTGAGACAAGGACAACTATCGGTTACAGTTACTCATGCTTTGTCACTAACCAGTTACTCTGCTTTCGTCATAGCTTCACGAGTAGTTTAGCAGCTCAAAACGCAACGCACAGCAGCAAAGGGCTTGGCAACGCGTTCACTTGGTCCACGCCACAGACTGAGGAAAACAACTTCTGTGCCAGCTATTTTACCCCAACCCGCAGTCCATGGCAGCCGCGGGACTCAGCACTCTTACACAATCAGTTCATACCGTTTAAAACGAGGACAGTCGCGCATTCGCTGTTGTTCCAGTGACACAGTGGGGGACACATCCTGGCACAGGGCTCCAGCACCTTTCAGACTTTTTTTTTTTCAGAGTGTCTGAAGCTGGCAGAGCTGGCAGGAACACAACCTTTAGCACGAGGCCTTCAGAGGTCATTTTGCCCCAGTAACAGGTTTAAGATGACTGTAGAAGAACCACACGAGGGTATTTGACAGAACGGAGTGCGCACGCAACCATAAACAGCAGCCTTGGACAAAGCTCCAGTGAATAAACGCACCTCTTCCCAGGGACACGAGCCGGCAGGTCCTCAGGCCCCGAGCCCATTCTCTATCTGCTCCAAAGAAAGGCGGCTTTCACTGAAAACCCTCCTTTTAAGGCTTTAAGCACACCCGATCTTACGGGTCAAAATTTTATGCCAGGTACTTAAATCCAGTCAGTTTTCTACTGACGAGTACATAGGCATGCAAAGCTCGGCCAGGCCTCCCTCACCCCGTGTCATTTCTAAAGACAGCCTTAAAAACGTGGTGGCTGCACGAAGCAGGCCAGGGGCTCGCCCCTCTGCTGTTGGTCTCCTGCAGGCAGAGAGCCACATGTTGGGCTGTACAACCACCCGCCCGTCCCCCCACAGTAAGATGAACGTTGCCTCTGATCTCTGCAGCCTGAGGAGCAGCCCGGGAAAGGGGCATCCCCAGGGTGACAGCCCACCCCACCCCACCCCAGGGGCCAGCTAAGGCAAGCAGCTACAGTCACCTGGTGCTGTCTTCTCCAGTAACAAAGCTGAGATCATCAGGACCAACCTGATCGCCCTCCGGGAACATCGAGCATCGCTCTGAGGCTGAAAACAAAACAAAGAAAAACCCAGTAACCTTTAGCAGCCGAGCGATCGGAACACAGCAAGGTAACGTTCCATCACCTGCAAGGCCCGCTGCGTTGTACCTTCACCCCTAACGTACCAATAACACAAGGTGCTTGACACAGAGTTACGACTGCCACAGGGTTTTAAATTTAAGGTATCTGTAAGTCAAGCACGGACGTGAGCGATGTTTTGATTCTTTGGATGAGCTGTGAGGTTTTAGTGCCCGCTGCAGGCACCCAGCAAAGCAAACCCCGATTCCTGAGCCGAGCTGTTAGGCCGTGCTGCTGATGCCCTGTGGGATGCTTATTTGGGCTAAAAGTCAACTTCACCTAGTGTCAGCTGTCACCTTGCAGCTTTTAATTTGATCGGAAGGTTAAAGCTTTCCAAAGAAACATGAGATGAGTTTTTGAAACTACACTGAAGTGCTCAAAGCACATCCCTGCTGCTCGAGATGCAAACCCGCCTCGAAGGCAGCGGTTACCTCCCTGAAGTCAGCCCATGTGCAGTCCTGCTCCTAGCACGCAGGGAGTTCCAATTCGGAAGAACCAGAGCTATGGGTTTTCCAGCACCTCCCCGGGAGACTCACCTGAACTGACTCCTCAAGGCTAGAAAGAGTTCCCCTCTCCTGTTTTGATCTGGTTTTAACTGGGATCCCAAGAGAGGAGTTCCACATCTTACTGGCACTTGCTTGAGCTTTAATACCTCTACAGCACCTCAGCGATCGCCGCCCTTGCAGCGTTCTGCATCACAGGAGCTCAGAGGCAGGGGTGCGGGAGCGTTTGGGAAGCTGGGCTCACACAGTCAGTTCTACCTTCACTCGAGGACTGGACAGAGAAGGCATGGTTAAACCCCTCCGAGGCAGAGGCGGCATCCTCCTGCTCTTCGTTTTCTGTGTCACATTCAATGTCACTGTCACTGCTCATTCCTGGTAGGAGATGAAGGACATGCTTCTGACATACCCCGGCTGCAAAAAACCCAAAAAACCCAAAAACCTCAAGGCAAAAATGATGGCAGTAAGATCTACAGAGCTGGAGCATTCGACTTTTTTGCATGTAAGAGTTACCAGGAGCTGGCAGGAGAACAGGGGAGAATGAGCACGTTCAGAGCTCAATGTGTTTACCAAAGCACTACGGGGTCTGACAGAACGGCGGGTACCGGCTTTGCAAACAGCCTCATTTTGCTGTGCAGCTCCTCGAGAGGAGCAGTTCCAACACATCGCCAGCTGAGCGCAGACTCAGGTGCCCACAGCTCCTTCCTGCTTGAGCTGTGCTCCCTGCCAGCTGCTCAGCCTACCTCTACAATTAGGACAGAAAATAAAAGTTGCTTTTTTTAAAACAGTTGAGAGGTAGCGTGACCCGTGGAGCAGATGAACCTACCAGACCTTTCAAGCAGCAATACTCTATTCAAGGCTTGCACACAAAACCCATGCTTTTCCTACAAAAAAGAACCATCGCTATTGATAATCAAGGTGGTTTCTTTTGTTTTGCCAGACCTTGAGTGTGTATTGACAGCAGTCAAAACTCTCCCTTTTGTACAGTTTTTAGGTGACAAAAGGGCTTTGCTCTGTTCTGAAGAGCTGATTGATACTCATTGCTAAGAAAAAGCAAGTAGTTAAGTGAGGTGCCAACTCTACTGTAGTTTTCCCTCTGAAAGGAAAAAAAAAAAAATAATATTTGTTTCCTGGGGTTTTTAACAATGAAGTATTTCAGTCTTTAAAACATTTTCCTATTAGGCTCTCTGCTATAATAGGAGAGCTGCGGGAGCGCATCACGATCACGCTGCAGTGACTAAGAGCAGAAATTCAGTTTTGTCACTGAGAGACCTTCTGTAAATGCCAACTCCTACACAATACTGCACACTGCAGATAGAGATGGATGCTGGCACCTTAATATAGGCTTTGCGCTACAATTCAGTCATTGAAATTCAAATTAGTGCAGGGGTGGAAGGCAGGAGAGTTTTAGCAAGATAAGAAAAACTCTTCTACGTGGACTTTCAAAAAAAAAAAAAGGCAGTAACATTTTTTTCCAGCGTGGAAAGGATGCAGGAAGGGAGGGGGAAAAATTTCCTCCAAGTCTCTAAGGAAACTGGCTTACGTACCACAACACCCGACACGAATGACATGTTGGAGAGATTCTAGCGCGGACGTGGAGGTAGTTACCAATGCGGTTTGTCCCTAAAGGCAGAACACTTAAAAGCCAAGGTCATTGGCTACTATTTTAATTAGATAAGAAATTATTTTCAAGGCCGTGCAAGTGAACACCAAAGCAAAGAGCTGGAGACGTATGAAGCGGGACAAAAAGCAATCACTAGTCCGGAGAAATAAATGGCACCACCCAACAATATCTGCTGGGTCTTCACATTCCTGCCGCACCGTAACATCGCTGTTTCTCCACAGGCAGCAGTGACGCGGAGATGTTCTCCCCTCGTTCAGATTTACACTACAGCTGCCAAATGTTACAGCAAAGTTCAACAGCCATGAAAACAGGTTTCGGGTTTTTTTGTTGTTTGAGGGTTTTTTTCCCCTCTTTTTGTTTCCCCTTCAAGCTCTTTCCATTACAGAAATGAATAAGCACAGACTGCAGTGTTGTCACACTGCATTTGCCCTCTACAACATCTGATTTACCTTCTTCTGTCCCTGCAGAAGCACCCTCAGAAAGCATAGCCTGCAGTTCACCAGTTTCCGAGGTGTTTTCCAGACCACCTGCCTGTGTTCCTTCTGTACGACAGCCTTTGGAATTTGACCTTAAGAAAGAAATTAGGAGAAATCCAAAAACCCACGTTAGAAATTCAGCTTTAATCCAGTTACAGAAACAAATCCTTTTAGTGCCACATCTTGTTTTACTCATTGCTTAAGACTCTTGCATATCCCCTTAAACTTCCAGCTTTGATTGATTTAGAAATATTTAAAATCTTAAAAAATAAACCTGGAAAAGTTTATGGCAAGTACTTTCCAAAAATAGTGGCTCTTGCTGTTTAGAAAAAAAAAATAGCCCGAGTACCCCATTGCACGTAGCTTAGCTTGCCAACAGGGGATTACTATGAAATTGCTGGAAAGTAGAGTCACAGTGAAAAATACTGTCTTAAATGAGGAAATCAAAAGTGCTCACTTTCAGTTAAGAGGATATTTTGTAAGGAATAGGGGGAAAACAGACTGGGCCTGCCTTTCAAATCAAAGTGCCAGACTACATCCACAGCTGATCAAAATAAAAGAAAAAAAAAGAAGAAAAGAAGAAAAGAAGAAAAGACAACTTGTAACCTAGTTATGAAACCAAAAATTGATATCCAGAGGGAGCAGCAGCAACCAAGTAAACTTCAAAGTAATTTCTCTTCCATGCTGCAAGCACCTGGTTTTAGCAGATTGGTATTTTTCCTTTCTAGATCAAGGGAAGGTGGGGGAGGAGAGAACAAGAGGAAAAAAGAATAAAACCCTTACCCTAGAGCACCAACTTTTCTGGTCTTCTCTACAGCAGCTAAGCCATTTAAGCCAGAAACTCCCACATCGGAATCTGAACCTTCGCAAGGTCTTTCCTCTGGCTTCGGCAGCGCCTCAGAAGCGTTGCTGTTGGTGAGGGGCCTGGGGGAGTGATGCCGACTGCTCAACTTCGAGCTCCCCATGCCACCTGAGGAAAGAGGGAGAGAAACTCAAAGCACATCCAGCCTTATTTCAAAAGGCTAAATGTCCAGTTGTTTTACATCACCAGTTTGGTTCCAGACACATGTATGCACAAGCACGCCTTCCCCACCCTCGCTCATAAAACCTCACATTTTCAAGTCAACACATGGGCCACGTGCACCATTCGATACCCACTCTCTAAACACAGAGAGCTTCCATTTCAGGTGCCACTTCTGATGGGAGACTTGGGTAAGTACAGATCAATCCTTCCCCTTCCTGTGTAGTTAAAACTTATCTTTTCCTTATCTTCCAGGAACACAGGCACCCTCTTCACTGTCACCTTCCCCAGCTATCGATGCACAGGCGTTTCGCTGCAGTTATGGCAGCCTTTCCAGTCTTGGAGAAGGGTGAAACTGGGCCCAAAGGTTACAGTTTCATTGTGTAATGGCTTTATGGTGTTTTTCAGTTTCTCACCCAAGCCTTCTGTATCTATTTAGCATTAAAAGAAAACAATTGCGATACTCCATTCCTTCTCCGAACAATTAAGAGGGTCAAAACACCAATTCCTGCATTAGGCATTTCATTTCATCACCACTTAAGGGCATCGTAAAACTCAGGAGCAGCAATATCATACAATTCTTTAATCTCACATATCCAGAGTTTTCTTGAATTCCCTTTAAGCCTGGGTCAGTACTTTTTGATCTATGATTTTCACTATGAAGTTAGTTCCCAAAACATCTTCAGAGACCCCAGAAGTAACACGTAGCACTTAAATTTATGTTCTGGTAAGTTGAGTGTGTGGCACTGTTTCACAGCAGATCAGCTATCAAAGGTACAATAATGTTAACTACATTTGAGACAGGATCCAGTTGAGTCTCAGGGAAACTTCAGTTGCCAAGTAAAAGACTTCTTGAAAAGCTTTTGTACAACAGATGCTAAGATGCATCACATCACACAAATTAAGATAATCTTGTTTACCTTCAGAAGTTTGACTGTCTCCCTTTAAACGAAGATTACTATCCCCACAGTCCATAGCTCTTCGTAAAGACAGGCTACCTGCTGCTCCAGAGCGAATAGGTTTGGGTGAATTACTTTTCTTACTTGCAGCTGCAAAAATATTTTAAGATGTGACAAGCATTCAATCAAACTGTTGCAGTATTCTGTCTTTATGCTTGTTTTAAGTTAAGCTCCATATTAGTCTCATTGCTCATTAACTCCCAATCCTGCATAAAACTTCTTCCACACCCTTCCTGTCAAAGATGTGGGCTAGAGGGAAGCTTAGCTAACTGTGGGTACGGCCAAAACTACGCACTATGGTCACCTGCCTTATGCTAAGACACCCTTCAGGAAGCCGTCAGCCAGATCGCTTCAGCCATCACAAGAGTATAATGGGTAAGGATAGCCAAACCCATCCCTTCAGCTCTTAAATTCAAAGTCCAGTGTAACAAAGGACCTCAAAAGCAAGAGTGAAAGGCAGGTCAGGGGACTTGCACTGTTTACTGCTTCTAAAGTAACCATTCTCTGAGCACGTGTCAGCGTGGATCCTGCTACAGAAACTCATCTACGTAGAGGAACGGAGGAGTGGTAACTGGAACAGCAAACCACCAAGTTCTGCTGTCACCACTCACAATAAAGGCGGGGGATCTGGGCTTCAGTGCAAGTCAGAAGATTGCTCCTGTTTCACAGAGTGCTGTATGCCTGTTCCTCTTGTTCTGAGGCAGAACGAAGTGACTGCCCAGTGCCTCAGTAACCTTTGAGGGATGAGGCATTTGCTAAGGAAAGAGGTGGTATTAAAAACCACACAGCACACAAAAGCTGGCCCTTCCAACCCTTCCATGGCTTATTGATGGAGTAACCCAGGGCTCCAAACTTTAAGACACGACTCCTTCTCTTAATGTGCACCATCACAGAAGAAATTCTCTACTCTATAGAAGAGATGAAATGCAGAACAGACCTTTGCTGGAGTTGCAAAAGCCCTGTTTTGCAGGTCAGCATTGAAAGAGATGGAGAGGAACAGAATCATTCTACTGGTTGTCTAGTCTACTCATGTTTATAATATATTCCTTACTCATCTTGGCTCCAAAATCCAAGCAATAACTTGAATCAAAACCCAGAAGGCTGGAAAATCACCTCTCCCAGGCAACAGGGAAGTGAAAGAGGATTAGCAAGTGCTTTTATTCAGGATCATAAGCAACAAAGCACTTGCACAGCCTTCACGCTGGTATCCAAAAGATTCCACAGTGGCTTACCAGTGCTGCCAGTAGGACTCAGTGACAGTACCTGCACAGGCACCTCTCTGAAAGAAGTCACTTTTCAAAAGGCAAAGTCTCTCCAGAGAGAAACCTTGGCTTACCTGAATTTTAGCAAGATTTCAAGTTACTGAAGTATAGCAAGTCTGGAATTTTTTAGGTTTTTTTCATTGGCAAGCATCACGAAACACCCTCAAGCTCATAGATGGGCCAGATGCAGAGCAGCACTCAACAAGAAACGACCTTCAGCTAGGATCAGTTCGACACTGGATTAAATTTCAGAACATTCTCACTGCACTAGGTGCGCTGCTGGTTGCGCAGCAGAAGTTTTGGTGCTTTTACAGAGAAGGGCTGAAACCAGTTTCAGTAACACTTACTCAAAGGCAGTGCAGGTTTTCTGGATTCTTACAGCTGAACTTGAGTAACTGTAAGAGGTCTATTTCCAGATGCCTGGATATACAAACCGCCTATACAACTGACATCTGTAAGAGTAACATTTAAAGCCCCCCCTTTTCTATGAACTTACAATTCCTTATGTAACAACTGGTAACTGAAGACTTTGTCAGTAGTTCCATTCCTATTTCTTTGTTGGAGAGATTCTAGCGCGGACGTGGAGGTAGTTACCAATGCGGTTTGTCCCTAAAGGCAGAACACTTAAAAGCCAAGGTCATTGGCTACTATTTTAATTAGATAAGAAATTATTTTCAAGGCCGTGCAAGTGAACACCAAAGCAAAGAGCTGGAGACGTATGAAGCGGGACAAAAAGCAATCACTAGTCCGGAGAAATAAATGGCACCACCCAACAATATCTGCTGGGTCTTCACATTCCTGCCGCACCGTAACATCGCTGTTTCTCCACAGGCAGCAGTGACGCGGAGATGTTCTCCCCTCGTTCCGATTTACACTACAGCTGCCAAATGTTACAGCAAAGTTCAACAGCCATGAAAACAGGTTTCGGGTTTTTTTGTTGTTTGAGGGTTTTTTTCCCCTCTTTTTGTTTCCCCTTCAAGCTCTTTCCATTACAGAAATGAATAAGCACAGACTGCAGTGTTGTCACACTGCATTTGCCCTCTACAACATCTGATTTACCTTCTTCTGTCCCTGCAGAAGCACCCTCAGAAAGCATAGCCTGCAGTTCACCAGTTTCCGAGGTGTTTTCCAGACCACCTGCCTGTGTTCCTTCTGTACGACAGCCTTTGGAATTTGACCTTAAGAAAGAAATTAGGAGAAATCCAAAAACCCACGTTAGAAATTCAGCTTTAATCCAGTTACAGAAACAAATCCTTTTAGTGCCACATCTTGTTTTACTCATTGCTTAAGACTCTTGCATATCCCCTTAAACTTCCAGCTTTGATTGATTTAGAAATATTTAAAATCTTAAAAAATAAACCTGGAAAAGTTTATGGCAAGTACTTTCCAAAAATAGTGGCTCTTGCTGTTTAGAAAAAAAAAATAGCCCGAGTACCCCATTGCACGTAGCTTAGCTTGCCAACAGGGGATTACTATGAAATTGCTGGAAAGTAGAGTCACAGTGAAAAATACTGTCTTAAATGAGGAAATCAAAAGTGCTCACTTTCAGTTAAGAGGATATTTTGTAAGGAATAGGGGGAAAACAGACTGGGCCTGCCTTTCAAATCAAAGTGCCAGACTACATCCACAGCTGATCAAAATAAAAGAAAAAAAAAGAAGAAAAGAAGAAAAGAAGAAAAGACAACTTGTAACCTAGTTATGAAACCAAAAATTGATATCCAGAGGGAGCAGCAGCAACCAAGTAAACTTCAAAGTAATTTCTCTTCCATGCTGCAAGCACCTGGTTTTAGCAGATTGGTATTTTTCCTTTCTAGATCAAGGGAAGGTGGGGGAGGAGAGAACAAGAGGAAAAAAGAATAAAACCCTTACCCTAGAGCACCAACTTTTCTGGTCTTCTCTACAGCAGCTAAGCCATTTAAGCCAGAAACTCCCACATCGGAATCTGAACCTTCGCAAGGTCTTTCCTCTGGCTTCGGCAGCGCCTCAGAAGCGTTGCTGTTGGTGAGGGGCCTGGGGGAGTGATGCCGACTGCTCAACTTCGAGCTCCCCATGCCACCTGAGGAAAGAGGGAGAGAAACTCAAAGCACATCCAGCCTTATTTCAAAAGGCTAAATGTCCAGTTGTTTTACATCACCAGTTTGGTTCCAGACACATGTATGCACAAGCACGCCTTCCCCACCCTCGCTCATAAAACCTCACATTTTCAAGTCAACACATGGGCCACGTGCACCATTCGATACCCACTCTCTAAACACAGAGAGCTTCCATTTCAGGTGCCACTTCTGATGGGAGACTTGGGTAAGTACAGATCAATCCTTCCCCTTCCTGTGTAGTTAAAACTTATCTTTTCCTTATCTTCCAGGAACACAGGCACCCTCTTCACTGTCACCTTCCCCAGCTATCGATGCACAGGCGTTTGGCTGCAGTTATGGCAGCCTTTCCAGTCTTGGAGAAGGGTGAAACTGGGCCCAAAGGTTACAGTTTCATTGTGTAATGGCTTTATGGTGTTTTTCAGTTTCTCACCCAAGCCTTCTGTATCTATTTAGCATTAAAAGAAAACAATTGCGATACTCCATTCCTTCTCCAAACAATTAAGAGGGTCAAAACACCAATTCCTGCATTAGGCATTTCATTTCATCACCACTTAAGGGCATCGTAAAACTCAGGAGCAGCAATATCATACAATTCTTTAATCTCACATATCCAGAGTTTTCTTGAATTCCCTTTAAGCCTGGGTCAGTACTTTTTGATCTATGATTTTCACTATGAAGTTAGTTCCCAAAACATCTTCAGAGACCCCAGAAGTAACACGTAGCACTTAAATTTATGTTCTGGTAAGTTGAGTGTGTGGCACTGTTTCACAGCAGATCAGCTATCAAAGGTACAATAATGTTAACTACATTTGAGACAGGATCCAGTTGAGTCTCAGGGAAACTTCAGTTGCCAAGTAAAAGACTTCTTGAAAAGCTTTTGTACAACAGATGCTAAGATGCATCACATCACACAAATTAAGATAATCTTGTTTACCTTCAGAAGTTTGACTGTCTCCCTTTAAACGAAGATTACTATCCCCACAGTCCATAGCTCTTCGTAAAGACAGGCTACCTGCTGCTCCAGAGCGAATAGGTTTGGGTGAATTACTTTTCTTACTTGCAGCTGCAAAAATATTTTAAGATGTGACAAGCATTCAATCAAACTGTTGCAGTATTCTGTCTTTATGCTTGTTTTAAGTTAAGCTCCATATTAGTCTCATTGCTCATTAACTCCCAATCCTGCATAAAACTTCTTCCACACCCTTCCTGTCAAAGATGTGGGCTAGAGGGAAGCTTAGCTAACTGTGGGTACGGCCAAAACTACGCACTATGGTCACCTGCCTTATGCTAAGACACCCTTCAGGAAGCCGTCAGCCAGATCGCTTCAGCCATCACAAGAGTATAATGGGTAAGGATAGCCAAACCCATCCCTTCAGCTCTTAAATTCAAAGTCCAGTGTAACAAAGGACCTCAAAAGCAAGAGTGAAAGGCAGGTCAGGGGACTTGCACTGTTTACTGCTTCTAAAGTAACCATTCTCTGAGCACGTGTCAGCGTGGATCCTGCTACAGAAACTCATCTACGTAGAGGAACGGAGGAGTGGTAACTGGAACAGCAAACCACCAAGTTCTGCTGTCACCACTCACAATAAAGGCGGGGGATCTGGGCTTCAGTGCAAGTCAGAAGATTGCTCCTGTTTCACAGAGTGCTGTATGCCTGTTCCTCTTGTTCTGAGGCAGAACGAAGTGACTGCCCAGTGCCTCAGTAACCTTTGAGGGATGAGGCATTTGCTAAGGAAAGAGGTGGTATTAAAAACCACACAGCACACAAAAGCTGGCCCTTCCAACCCTTCCATGGCTTATTGATGGAGTAACCCAGGGCTCCAAACTTTAAGACACGACTCCTTCTCTTAATGTGCACCATCACAGAAGAAATTCTCTACTCTATAGAAGAGATGAAATGCAGAACAGACCTTTGCTGGAGTTGCAAAAGCCCTGTTTTGCAGGTCAGCATTGAAAGAGATGGAGAGGAACAGAATCATTCTACTGGTTGTCTAGTCTACTCATGTTTATAATATATTCCTTACTCATCTTGGCTCCAAAATCCAAGCAATAACTTGAATCAAAACCCAGAAGGCTGGAAAATCACCTCTCCCAGGCAACAGGGAAGTGAAAGAGGATTAGCAAGTGCTTTTATTCAGGATCATAAGCAACAAAGCACTTGCACAGCCTTCACGCTGGTATCCAAAAGATTCCACAGTGGCTTACCAGTGCTGCCAGTAGGACTCAGTGACAGTACCTGCACAGGCACCTCTCTGAAAGAAGTCACTTTTCAAAAGGCAAAGTCTCTCCAGAGAGAAACCTTGGCTTACCTGAATTTTAGCAAGATTTCAAGTTACTGAAGTATAGCAAGTCTGGAATTTTTTAGGTTTTTTTCATTGGCAAGCATCACGAAACACCCTCAAGCTCATAGATGGGCCAGATGCAGAGCAGCACTCAACAAGAAACGACCTTCAGCTAGGATCAGTTCGACACTGGATTAAATTTCAGAACATTCTCACTGCACTAGGTGCGCTGCTGGTTGCGCAGCAAAAGTTTTGGTGCTTTTACAGAGAAGGGCTGAAACCAGTTTCAGTAACACTTACTCAAAGGCAGTGCAGGTTTTCTGGATTCTTACAGCTGAACTTGAGTAACTGTAAGAGGTCTATTTCCAGATGCCTGGATATACAAACTGCCTATACAACTGACATCTGTAAGAGTGACATTTAAAGCCCCCCCTTTTCTATGAACTTACAATTCCTTATGTAACAACTGGTAACTGAAGACTTTGTCAGTAGTTCCATTCCTATTTCTTGCAGCTTGCTGCAGCTTTCTGTTCCACAGGCAGCTAAAGCTCCTTGCTCAATGGAGAAAAAGCTGGGCTGTCCATCACATGAGCCAGCATTGCTGCTTCTCACTTCTGACAGTTGGTTTTTTACATCAGACATTTTGCTTCGAACTTCAGCCATCTGAGTTTTCAGTCTTTTCAGCATCTTCAAGTCAGGTGGCACACGCCACATTGCCTGGTGTCTCCGCTGATCTCGATCTTTTAGAGAATAGGACGATGCTTTACCCAGGGAAAAGTTAAAGAACACAGCAGGTAAGTAAAACTGTTCTCAAACAAAAGCAGACATCTATTTTTAACCGCTCTAAGAATTCTACCTTTCGCCCTGCTATAAAACGAGGGACAGAGACATTCTTCTGTACAGCTACGACACTATAATATTTAGGTTGCAAGCACTGCACAGCTACCGGGACAGCGGATCGCCACTCCCTGCCTGCCATGGAAGAAGGCCCCAAACCTTGCTCGCTGGAAGAAGCAAGGCTCCCAGTGCTACTGCATGAATTCCGATGACAACAGAGCCGCTACTCCACATTGCCAGACGAGACTGAGTCCACAAGCCTGGCTGCCAGTTCATCTGAAATGTTACATGTTTTTATAAAATTTGTTTGTGTGTACATAAGATTCTCATACCACCAACATCCCATCTTAACATAGAGAACTCAAAGAAATCTGAAACTAGGGACAAAATTCCCTTAAATACCTAGCACCAGAAGATCAGGTCAAGGAGCTAATACCCAAGTAAGCCTACATGCTGCTCAGCCAGAATTAGATCAACTTTGATGTCTACTTGAAGCACTGTAAGTGCTTCACTGCAAATTCAGCTGTTCAAAACCATAAAGCCAAGTGGCTCTTAGAAACCTCCACCTTTGGAGGTGAAGTCTGGCAAACTCCAAATGTAACAGCGGCTTTCTCTTAGTTGACTGACGTGAGAAAGCTCTGGGAACAGTCAAACCTTAACGGAATGTCAGCAAAACAGGTAATTTCAGCTGCATAGCCAGTAGCTAGAGATGACCAGGAAGCTATTCAAGCAACAGGAAAGCTTAATCTTGCTCCAGTAGTACAGCACAAAGTGCACTGCCCTCTCTTAAAGTCCTTTTGTCTAGGCTTTTTTCCAGGCAAAACAGAGCCAAGACTTTCAGTTCACATGCTGCCTCCTCTTTTCATACTTATGGAAGTGACTTCTATTTTTGGAAATACGGATTACATTCAGCTGAAAATTCATCTGACTATTTATGTGACTACATTTAAAAAGCTAGGAACAAATAGCTGGAGCTAGCTTTTAGATTCAGTAACACCGATGTCATTGTTGCAGCAAAAGCAAGCATTTCTTTGTAGCAAATGGACCATTATTTCCTTTCTGTTCTATTAAGTCACCAAATAGCTGTTTCAGAATGACCTGAAATGAGATGTTGTGGTAGTGGGCCAGCAAGCTCCAAATAAGTGTTAATCATGATAAATGTATTATTGAGGTTTTATTTTAATTCTTCACTAACAAAACAAGAGAAATGAGCAACCTCAGTAACAGCCATGGGTACCAGAGCTATCTTTGCTTTTGCTGCACATGAAGTTAATTGCTGTTTTTGGTTGAAGGGTCCTAACTGAACCACAAATACTCTTCAAAGTCTTCAATTATTTAAATGCCATCCCTATTTTTGGCTCCTGACATTTTGATCAATTTTTCTTCCGCAACTGCTTACATGTGCTTTTCCAGCCTTACAACTACACACATTTTTTTCTCATTCTGTTTTCAGTGCCTTTTTCGTACAAAAGTAAATTCCAGGATTTATTTTCTTGTTAGTGTGCACCATGCTGCCAGTACTCTCAGCTACTAAGTACACAAGCTTTGTGAAGTGAGGTGGAACTGCTTTCTCAGCAGATAGCCGTTTCGTGTTGGTTTGGTTTTTAGTGCTAACCCCTTCTAGAAAAGGGCCTTTCATTCATCTCCCACAGTTGTAGCCAGAGAAACAGCATGAACTGTATCTCTACAGTGTTGCTACACAAAACAGCCAGTTCAGTCACATCCCCCAAGAACAGACGGGAAGACCCTCCTTGACACACACTTCTGGTTTTAGTTGAGTCATCCAGTGCTCTCAATCTGAGGTCAACCATTAAGACAAAGAACGTATCGAGGCAGGCAGCAAGATGCAGCACACTGATGAGCACAGATGAGGACACAGAAGTTTAGCTATGAAGGAAAAGGACTTCTTGTCATCCTCTTTTTTCCCCCTCCCCTCCTCAAATCTGCTTCATACTCTGGGACTGCATTCTCAGAGACATTTCCAAGGTGGAATTAAATCATTTTATAGGTGATGTAGTTACCTCTGTTCTGCAGAAGAGAGGCAGGTGGACGTGGCTGAAGGCCCCAAAGGTTTTCCATACCATTTCTGTCTTTTAGATCCAACAAGTGGATTAAAATTAAGGGATCTATATCTAGTAAACTGCTACTGGCTGTTGAGCCTAGGGCACTTCCTCCCCGCCTTGAAGATCTTCCACTTGCACTGGTATAGCCATGGCTGGAACCTAGGGAAGAGTCACAGAGAAAGAGGGTGCATACGCATGACACTGGTGAGGCATTACTCCCTATAAAAACAAAAAGAGAGTTCCACAAGTAGATTAGGAATGAAAACATTTCAAGAAAGTTAACAAGACATCGGTATTATTCCAGGGATTTACGGATTCTGAAAGCAATCATACACTTCTAAAAGTTTAAGCTAAAAAGCACCAGAGGGGAAAAAAAAAAGGGGGGGGAAAAAAAAAGGATTTCATTTAATATCTTTTATGTAAATCTCTTAACAAATAGATTGGTAAACAAGTCAATAAAAAGAGCATTTATTCTGAAGAAATGCACATCAACTTTCTAGGTTCCCCCCGCCAATTAGATTAAGGGGGGGATCTTCAGTTGAGTTCTGCTCTGTGTTACGGTGTTCCCATTACACAGTGGCCAAGGCACTCAAAGATGAAGAGAGTCTTCAGAGAAAATAATTAGACTTGCAAGATTAAAATTGTAGTGTACTAGAACTCCCTTCCAACACAGACAGGTGAAACTACCAACATTCAGACTGGAAAACAGTTCAAGCAGGAAAATGCAGGAAGCTCAAGCATCAGCTTTTACAAATGTGGTTAAAAATTACTTTCCAAAAGCTCCTAAATGAATGCTGTTCCTACAGCCACTGTGCTCCTACTCTAAAGGCGATCCTTTCAAAGCAGACAGACACATCCCTCAATTTCCTAGCTCACAATAAATTTTCAAGAAGTTTTGAAACAGCAGCTAAAAGCAGGACAGTTAAGGAATTCTGCCTTTCAAGCACTAGCAGGCTTCCGCAGCAGCATAAATACCACTTCCAATGAATGCCACTTCCGGTATCTTTGCCATAGAGAAGTGTACTTATATTCAATGTACATACATTTCTTCCAGAATCTTATTAACCTATGGCTAATTTGGGCTATAAGATTTCTTGCAGCCTAGAGGTGGTTAAGAGTGCCTTTTCATTATTGCATTTAAAATGCATTTCTGCTTGACTTGTAAGGATTCTTTACTTCATTCCCTCCATGTACTTCAGGTTTTACAGAGCATTTGTCATGCATTCAGAGGCCACACAGACATCAGTAAAAATTTGTCAGTCTACTTTCAGTCAGAATGGATGGGGTTTCAAAGAGGCAGAAAAGCCTCTCTCCAAACTTATGTGTAAGTTTTAAATAAGCACATTCAGAAGATTACCCCCTTTTTTTTTTTTTTATTGAACCAATGGAATGTTTCTGCTACACTGCAATAATCAGTACAAACCACATGATGCAGCATTTCCAAAAATAGAAATGCCTGCAGAACACGCAGCTTGGCGTCGCTTCCAAGAAGAACAGGGGAAGGAATCCAGCAGTGTTGCGCATATATGGGAATTCTGAAGGCTGCTTTTCATACCTGATGCTCCAGGAGTAGCAGCAGCTGCTGCATCCTCCATGAGATCTCCTTCTTCCAACTCCATATTACTGCTATATTCCACGTCATTTTCTCCAGACCTTAGGAGATGATTGGGGTGGAAAAGGGAGAATACAATTATTAGCTTCTGTCAGCTCCTGTTAAATGTTATGGCACATACCTTGAAAACAACACGAAGCACCGTAAATAGTATTTTCTGCATTCCAAACTACACAAACTGAACAAATCGAAGTGTGTTAATTAAATGACTGGCTCGCTAACAGAGTCCGAAAGTATCACACTTATCTAGACTATAAAAATCTGATCCTGCAAACTTCTATATTTGTATGTGTTACAACACATTCTCATGTTTTAATGAAGATTCTAGGATTTGACATTATCATCTCAGCTAAGGTGGTTAAATTCTCTAGTTTAAGTCACTGTCTTTATTGTCACTATCCTACTACTACAACACTTCCTAATATCAAACCTCTCGTTCGTTACAGTCTAGAAACAGTTTTCTCAGTAGTGTTTTGGGAAAGAACCTTCACAGACTATCACTTGTCAAAGACTGAATACAACACCGAAATAAATTAAGAGATCAGGAAGATAGTAACTAGCTGACCGAAAAGTCAGTGTTTAGCATTAACTGTATCAGTTCATGTTGTTTCCAGTATAGCAAATACCCCTCACATTGCACTGGAATACCCCCCATCATAACTGTGATACAGCAAGTGAATTGGTTTCCATTGGAATTTGGATGATTATCCCGAGAGACAAGGTGGTGACCTGAAAGGCATTTTAAGCTACTTACATAGTTTCTTCATCAATATCATTTTCTTCAGTGTTACTGGTTGCTGTCGAACTAGCTGAAGAGCTGCTACCATCAAGGTGGTTCACTTCGTCTTCTCCAGCAAGATCTATATCCAAGTCACCATCAGAGAGCTCGTGCTATAGGAAAAACAGAACAAGTCTATAAAGAAGCAGTATTTCAGCTGCACTTTGATGCATTCACCAAAAGCTGTGAACAGAAATCCTCTCTCCCCCATTAGTCACACTATCATACAGGAGTTAGGAGGGTCTCAAAGCACAATAAAAGCTGGTAACAAGCACAGCAGTTGCATTTTTCAGCTGCAACTCGGAAACTTTTTTGTGGTGGGACCTATTAGCTCTGTTCTGGAACATCTCTCTCGTGTCATCTCTCGCTGCTAGCTCTCAAGTGTGTTATCTCCTATTTCCACGCAGAGGATAATAAATCTCATTTACAATTCAGAAGTTCACTTATGTTTCTACTGCTATCCTATCATAAAAAGCTACACATCAACAAAGAGGCAGGAAAAAGACAGTTCCTACATTAAATTCTTCATGCTGGATCTTCTCTTCCTCCTCTTCCTTGCTATCTCGCACTAATCCTGGAGCAGCAACGTTCTCAAGTAGTACTTCAGTGCTTTGTCCAGATTTCTTTGATCTCGTTTCTGAACCATCATCATTCTGGGGACTAAGATGACTGTCTGGAGGTGAAATGCCTCGTGATTTCTGAGTCCGGGAAAGTTCAATCGCAAGCCTCTTAAATATCAGAAGGATGCACAAAAGTACACATAAAAGATGACAATGGAGCATCATCATCAAATCAAAGCAGCTTGTTGACTTGCATATATACTATTTTAGTAATGCCAATATCAAACTACCAATAGCAACCCAAACGCACACAATTGTCAAACCTGAACACCGTAACCTAAACCAGGTAATTACTGGTCAGTGAAAGGCAATTTTACAGTAATATACATCCCACTTACTTCTTTAAGGTTATTTATTTGTTGGATATAACTTGTCTGAGCTGCTTCCAATTGAGCAATGTACCAGTGTTGATCTCGGCACTTTTGGAAGAAGGTTGGTGAGCGCACTTGGAACCTTCAAAGGAACATTTCAAAGAGTTTGGGTTTTTTTTTGGTTGGTCATTGTCCCTCCCCAGATCTAAAAAGCCCTGCACAAGAACACCAGACAACCTGAAATCTAGTGATGAAATAAACTTAACAGACAACATGTGCTTCTATACTCAGTATTCTGAATGGCAACAGTAAGTTTTTTGTAGGAGAGGCAGTTATGAGACATGGTTATCTTCACAAACCAATACTAAAAAAAAATTAGCAGACTACAAAGCATTTAACAGGAGCAGGAGTAGGACTGTGCAGCGAATATTTGAAGTAGATGGATAAAGCTTCTATATTTTGTCGTAACATTGCAATTTCAATTGACAGTATTAGTTCTCTTACATTGCAGACTTCTTTCATCCCCAAAGTGCTCCTATGCTCACTACAACTGTTTCTAAAGAGGGAGAGAAAACACCCTTTCCTTTAATTCAGTTAGCTACGGATCTCCAACCCAGGCTTATTAGCATCAAGGGTAGCTCCTTCTCAGAGAAAGAGATGCGCTTAAAGTTTCCACAACTCCCTTCAGCACATTTTCTTCTTTAAAGCTTATGACAGTGAAATCCATTTATGACAAAACATGTCACAATTATTTTAAATTCAACTACTTAATTATTTCCCATTTCAGTAGTAGGTGTGATACTTTGCGAAATGATAGCAGAAAAGAGCCCCACTGAGTTGTCTGCCTTACCTTAGGATCACCGTGTCATTCTGCCTGTTTAAATAGCCTTCGTTGGCTAGCAAGTCTAAACGAAAGAATCTGTTGTACCCCCAGCATTCTCCAACTTCAAAATCTGAGGCAAACTCCCGAATTATGTTTTTAGTGGGATCGTTGGTGGACTGGTGAACCATTTCTACACGGTACTCATACCTATACAGGGGAAGGCCACAGGTATTAATACCAAAACAAAGATGTAACCGAATTGCTGAATGCGGCAAGTTTAACAGAACTGCACTTCCTGGGAGGCTCGCATGCCCAACTGAAGAGGAGATTGTCTTAAAATTTTGCTGCACATAAACGGTACAAGGGGGATAAAAATAGTAACAGGGAGTAGAGCAGTAAACCAGCTCTAGGACTGAATACTAGGAGACAGATACTCTTATCAGTTGTTTTGCCAACTTGCTTTTTATCTCGAGAAAGCCACTGAGCAACAACTTCAAAATATTATCTTTGGGCATGATTCAAAGCTCAATGGACAACAGAAGTCTCACTATTCTTTTCAAGAGTGCTCTGCATCAGTTCCTAGCAACACTACAGAACCTGAACTCTGCAAACCTCTCCAAATGTGAACAGAAAAAAAAGAATGGCTGCTCTTACTGCAGGTTTGCTTACTTGGATGTCTCCGGCAATCCAGCTGACAGCTCCAAGAACACAGACAAGTAGTAGCCCCGTACTACCCCATTTCCATCCTTGAAACAAACAAAATAGAAAAGATAAATTAATTTCAAAAAGAAAGCAAAAACCAGAAAAAAACCCCACCAAACCACCTTGATATACCCTGGAAGTTTAGAAAACAGCTTCAATCAATACAGAATCTGCAGCAGTTGTCTAGTTTATAAGCCACAGTTTTGATTTTTAGTCTTCTCTGACCTAGAACTCTGACTGTAACTTGAATCAACATGGAGTTTGCATCTGGAAGCACATATGCACTTTAGTATTGGCATCTCCGATATAAACCTCAAAACAGAGCTCTAGTTACTCTATTAGCATTTTAAGTGGAAGACTGAGTAGACAAACACTTGTCAATGTAGGAAAAACATTTATCTAACATACAGAGAAAGCAATAAAAAAGCTCATAAAATCTACTCATTGGTTTATTACAGTCCAATTCTTCTCCAACTCTCAACATGAAAACAGCTCAGGTTAAACATTAGTTCTGAAATATTTTATACAGCTGCATTTCAAAGCCACTTAAATTTGGAAAGAAGAGCAATTTCTTTAGAAAAAAACATGCAACATGAAAAGTTAGGTCAGTTAACTGAGAAACAATATTAGAATCACCAGAAATTAAGAAAAAATACGGCAAAACCTCCATCACACTCACCTTAATCAAGGATGAAGAATGGCTCAACTTGAGTCCTCTAGGTTGAAGAAACATTTCAACTTACCATTTAAAAAACAAATTTCAATGCCTTCTGACAGCACACCTTTATGTAGCCATCCTGAATTTACAATACCCTGAAAACTTATGCAGGGATTCAACTCTGCATTGCAAGAATACAATTCTGTGCATATGTGGGTGTAACAGATGAATCCAGTTCTCTGAAGACGCCAGGTAAATCACTAACAAAACTTGTACTCCATCACTAAACACCCATTTCTCCAAACACAGCTGTAGTAGCAGCCAGAGCTTCCTGGAAGCACTGACCAGACTAGGGGACTGTAAAAAGATCGCACCTTGTGGGTTAACGTTCCAACACCAGCAAAGACATTGCTTCTGAAATCTCAGCAGTCAGCCCACCGAAAGGACATCAGTCCAATACACACGTTTTAACGTCAGCGTTTGAGAACTGGACACACAGTAAACCAGATTCCCTTTCAACTAATACCTTGTCCTCCTCCCAACTTCCCAAATAAGGATTATTCATAAACATAAATATGGTGAGTTATTCTAGACCTCAGTTCTGCAAGAAATGTCTGCAGAAACCACTCAGACAAAAACAGTAGAAGTATCAATTAAAGTTCCTATGGCATATTTGCAAGACCCATTTTTAATTGCTTTTAAATTACCCAGATTAACTACAGTGAGAACGTTCATGCTGGTTATCTGGAGGCAGAGAGGGAATACTCCAATGGTTGGTGATCAACTCTGCAATGGTATTATGTTCTTTTCATACAGCTTTTTATATACAACACGAGAAGAAACTAATGGGCGTCTCCGTACAAGAGAAGCACATGAATGCTGCTTAAGTGTTTTGGATGGGATAACAACTCTAGCTGAAAATATAACTCACTGGATAAACTTTTAACCTCCAGCAAAGTCCTGACACTTGAAGAGGCGGACTGTAAACAGGATCTGCTCGCTGACGCAACGTACTATTGAGAAAGGAAAAAAAAAAAACAAACACATTTGCTATTGGGACAAAGCAAAACCCTCCATGAGATAGTAAACTGCATAAACACTTGCACTCTTACACTCTAGAACCACCCTTCTTGCTGCAGAGCATGTAGCAGCATGAGGCCCATGCAAAATGTTAAGTGTCCATACAAATATATGTATTCCTTGCAAAAATATTCAATTCTTTTTAAAAAGAAAAATAAGTGGTTTGCCATTATCACGCAAAATTTTTTTAGCTAACGGTTTTAGCTAGGGTTAATTGTTTTTCACCTGTGTAAACAAGAGATTTCTGATTGAACTCCTACAGCTTGGTTCAGTTTTCTGTACAGACTATTCTGTGTTTTAAAGAACACTACTCATGCACAGAAGAAACAGAGAAAGTTTCCCGATATTCACAGAAATTGAGGATACATTCTTACCTGAAGTTTTCCAAGATAAACGTAGTTGAGTCATAGGCTGGAACCAATTCACTGGGGAAGGGTGGAAAAAATAAATATATTAGAGTTGAATAACATGACACTAAAAAGCTCAATTTTTGGAATCTTTAGAAATATTTAAGACAATTTAGGTCACCAGCACCACTGAAATTCACTAGAACCACACTGCATTATTTCAGCACTTCTGAAAATTCCACTTATAAGCCTTCTCCCCAGTACCTGCCCATGTGATATCACACAGCAAAACAAATGTTTTATGTTATGAAGGGAAGAGGAACCAGAAGTACTTAAGGGGATTTTCCCTTTTACCTGCCATGGCTAATAATCTCTTGATATAGTGAATTTTTAACGTAAGGCTCCTTGGTAGTTCTAGAAAGGATGAAACTATTTCACGGCTGAAAATACCAAGTTTAAATGGTTTGTGTTTCAGAGCAGAAGATACCTTACTACCAATAGAAAATGAATATTCAGATTTAAACTCGCCTCGGAGACCTATTTAATTATTCTTTTCAGAAAACATGCCAGGACCATAGTTTTGAGATTGCATTTAAAAGCAGGCCAAACTGATTCTTGCTAGAGAACACAAAATTATGAGGAATTCTTCTAAGACTTCTACTTTCAATTTTTTGCAGACGCTTTTCAGCCAGCTAGCCTGAATTTTCAACAGACTTCCTCAGAACCCAGCACCAGCTGCACTCTCTTTATGAAGAACTGTGTTATGAAGTGATTTTGGCTATATATTCTGAATTAAGGTGACCTGCAGAGGCATCTCATGAGAATCTTGCAATTATATACTGAATGACCCAATAATAAGAGAAAAAGGACAAATCAGTAAACTAAGCGTAAAAAAGAAAAAAAAAATTGTCAGCTGGAACCCACTGTCCTGACTCCCCAGCAGGGACTGCAGACATAAAATAAGCCCTGCTGGAACAGAAAAGCCTACTTGCGACATAGGTTACTAAGAAGAGCAAGTTAAGCAGTTTGTAATTTTCAGTGTACAAGCGTGGACCTAAATTCAGTCAGAGATATCAGTTTTAACACAGAAAGGGACAGAATCACGTTACCCCACAGATTACCATTGCCATTGCTCATATGGCTAAGAAGTACAACTGCCCTTCGCTATGGGTGGGTATCACGCAAGCTCTCCAGCAACCTATCCATCAGCCGCCTATCACCCACTCTTTCAAACCCACATGTTGAAATACAGTGGTACTCTCCTGTCCTAGTTTTACAAAAGGCTGACATGCATGACTACATGGAACACCCTCCTCCATACGGTGGTACAGTAAAACGGGAAAGAGATACTCTCCTCTAAGTTACTTTAAATATTTTTTAACAAGCAAAACAAAACTGTAAGATGGCTTTCAAGTTCAAACTACAACAGAAAGGAAATGCAGCGCTTACCTTGTGAAGTCTGGGGGGACAGGAGTAGTGACAAATGAGGCCATAGGCTTCCGATGAACCTGCTGGAACATCATCAGGATCTCTGAACTTTTGGATATCAACTCACTCTTGCTGCATGATCGCAACTATATGGGCAAAACCAAAAAAAAAATCCTTATGTCGTTAGTAGAAACCATAGGTTTTGACCACTTGTTTTTAAACAAATAAATTGCATGTCTGTCACAGCTTCAGAAAGATTACCCTCAATGCAATGTAAAATTAAACTTGGAGGTTGGTTTGGGTTTTTTTGTTTGTTTGGTTTTTTTTTTTTAATTTCATTTGCTTGGCTTTTTGTTCCCTTGAAACTGTCAGCTCCCAAGACTAAGAATTTGCCTATGATAGCCAATGGTCACATGTTCTAAAATTTCTGTTAGGAAATTAAAATAGATATCCTAATTCTGTGTCACTCCAAAGTCTGCGCAACCCATTTGGGAAGTCCTGAATATTTAAGACTCTGCCAAATTCTACAATGAAAGTTACAGCAACTACTATGTACTTCGCTTCAGTTAAACTTATTTATGTATCGGGTGTCTGATTAATACCAAGCAACATCAATTACTGTGTTTATGCAACAATAACAAAGTATATCAATCTGGAAAGGATGCTTAATTAGACGTTGGGATAATTTGCTCAAATACATCACAGCACATCGACACAAGATCCTGTGACATTAGATAGTTCTGTTACGGTTTAGTTATTCCTTTACTGCTGTATTGCCAAGCACTGTATTTCTGCTCATCCAAATTTGAACAAAGCAAAGTCTGTATTATCTTAAATAGCAGCCCAAAAAAACCCACTTCATTTGAGATATCTTACAAAACCAGTGTAATAACAAAGGTCTTTTCAGATTTTGAAAAGAAAAAAAAATAATAATCCAAGCTTACATGTTCCTTGAATAGCTAGTACTCTACTTTCTAAAACTCTTTAGAGTGATACCATGTCATCTCCTTGGAAAGACAGGTGGACAGGAATAAAAGAACTAGAACCTGTTCAGTTTTCCTCAAAAAGCACAAAGAGAAACAGAACATTTTTGTTTATTCTCCATTTATAGCCACCACTATTCATACGCAGCTGCCAGCAGCAGAACAGAATCTACCCACACTGTCTAAATGCTACGTTGCCTTAAACAAACACGTAACCATGTAGTTGTATTTGATATTGCTATTAATCTTTGTATTAGCTTCTCCAGCAACAGAACACCTTTCATTATTTCTAGAAGACATACTTGTTTATATGAAGAAATTGTGCAACTGAAGGCCACTTAAATGAAAAGATACCTTCAAGAAATATCCATCAATTAATAGTTTAAAAATAAATAAAATAAGAAAAGCCAACTGAGAAGGGATCTGTGTAACACAACGTTTCAGCTCTTCTCATCATCACCTGATGTTCTACTTCTTGAAGCAGGGATTCCAGAAGTTCAGTTTCTTGAGTAAGCGATGTCTTTTGACCTGTTTAAAGACAAGAAGACATGTTTACAGAAAAAAAAGCCATACTCACTGGATTTTTAAGAAACTGAGTTTTTTTATTTTTTTTTTTACCTGGAAGCTGCCCCAGAACCTACTAAGGTAAAGGATTTCTAAATATACCAAGGTTGATTGAGAAAGCATTTTAAAAGCAAGCCTACATTTTTAATTAGAGCTGTAGTGAAGAACTCACTTGAGGTTAAGACAGTAATGAAACATTCTGTGTCCCAGAAATGGCAGGTTTGTTGTTTTGGGGTGCTTTTTTGGACATAAAAAGCAGGTTTGACTTCACTGAATTTGCTCTCATCCAGACAAGCGCCTCTTTTATATTAGCTGACGCTTTTCTCCTAAAAGCCACCATTACTCTTGCTTTGATGTTTGAAGTTCTTTCTTTATAAAAAAACAACAAACAATGTTTAAACGTGTCTGTGCATTTCAACTAGCATGAAGACCACAATGAGAAAGAATAAATACCCAAGTCCCATTTGTCTGTTTTCTACCATGGGGATTTACTTTGCCTCCATCATACATTACATACCTGAAGAGTGTTTGGCAGTTGTTAGAAAAAAGGTGATACAGGGACAAAATGGTAACCTGTACATATGAGTAATTAAGACATTCTACCACAGCTTTAAGACTGATCTTTAATCAGTACACACTAAAACAAATCTTGTGACTGATTACTGTATTTGATATAGGCACAAAATATGTATGAATGTACGAATGTCACCTTTAGTACGTGCTTCTATCGATGCACTTACACAAATGAAAGCGCACGTGGAAAAACCAAGGCAAAATCAGTTGAGTTATAGCCAGCTGAGGAACATTCCGTCCTTCTTGTTATAAGCTATGTTTAATTTTCAGTAGTGTTGCTTCTGTAAGCTTCAATACCTGTAAGTGTACCACCCATCTTCTCACCTCTATTTATACCAAAAGAGAGCTAAAGTGACCAGTGTCCAGTTAGCAAAAGTGTCAGGAACCAAACTAGCAGCTCTGATGCCAGATGCCATGTTCTTCATTTGCAGACAAGGCTGCCTGTATGTATGGATCTGAACTGTTGCTCACCAGACATCTCATATAGACTTCTAATTTTTTAAAAATTACATTAAAATGAGTATATATTACACAGATGTCAAATTACAAAGATGGACTTCTGGGCTAACACAAATGATGGTGTAAAAACACTTTAGGTGAAAGGTACTAAACATCTTCCAATTAGATGGAAATGTTCTCCAAGTCACTATACACAAAACCAGGTTACAGCTAACAACTTAGAACTGTATCACAGTAACTACATAATTAACTAAAAGCTTTGCTGCAGGTAGAAGTTTTCTGTCAGCAGTTACCTCACTTAACACCATAAAGTGCGTAAGGAGTCATATTCCCAGGGCAAGAAAGTTTCTCAATAGATGTACACATTGTTAATATATTGCTCCTACTCATAAAGGATTGGGTGAATACCTACCCATTAATGTTATAAGCTTATTCTTCAGCTGAGTGTCTAACCGGGCAATCATCATCTCCACTGCATTCCTGATTTCCCGAACTCGTTCATCCTTCGCACTACGCACTGCCTCCACATTCCTCTCCTAAAACAGGGTTCAGGAAAAAACATGCACAAAAAGAAAGCCTTCACACTTTTGCATGTTTCACTCATTTACACGTTGACTCCACTCTCTCAGATGCCAGAAATGCCTAGGGCCTCCCTAGAGTCCCCTCCAGCCCTATTCTTCTGTGAGGGAAAAAAAATAATCCTCGTCTTAGTGAAGCTTGAATGTTTAGAATAAGAAAATAGGAATGTGTTTTCAGATGAGCTGTATTACAGGCTATTCCTGTTGCCAGTTGTAAATATCCTTTGACTTTTACGGAATACATAAGCATGCCCTCTGGTGGGTGACCAAAGGTTAACAGTAAAGTTGAGCAATATTTTCTCATTACATAGAGATTTGTCATACAGGGGTTCTTTAGTATCAAAATTTGTAAATACAACTGCCAGTTTCTCTTCTGTAACTTGAGCAGCACAGAAGATTTACCTTCTTGGTAACAAGAACAATTTGATAAAAATTGTGCCCTTCACCCTGGAGGACAAGGCTACAATTCTCTCAACATTTTACAAATACAAGTAGCCCACCTGGTGATGCAACGGTCATATTTGAACTGAAGCAGAGCTAACCTACCACTGCGCGTGGCAAACAACTATGTGAAAAACAGCATAGACAAAAACCATGTGGAAACCTGCTTAAAACCACACCTTAATTTATTTCCACAAAGACTACACAATAAATGTAACAGCATTCAGCAGAACACAAAAATAATCCTTCCTAGAATACAAGAAACCATGTTAAATTGTTGGAGTTCCCACTGAAACTGCCAAACCTGAACATGTCGATATTTGGATGTCTAACACATTTACCCCTAAGGGGAGGAAAAAGAAGGTACACAAACTTCAAATCTCTAACCGGTGAGCTGCTTTACAGCCCATCCTGTAGGCTCAAATATACTCGTAGTTTATTCTCCTAAAGAAAGGAAAATAAGCTCTATTACAATAACGCATTTTTATACTTGTTTAGCATGGCAGACTGCTCCTAAGTGTTGACAAAAACACATCTTTCAAAGAACTGCACAAGTCCAGCTTTTAAATAGCATACACCAAAAGAAAAATTCCCTGTTAGCTCACTCCCATCTTTTTCTGTCCAGCAACTACAAAAACAGTATTGAGAATATGTTGACCTTTCCACGTAGTATAAAAAGAATATAACTAAAAAGTAAAAACTTCTGTCTGTGGGATAATCTGATTACCTTCACAGAAGCAACAGCTTCTGAACGGGTACTGAAAACATCACGAGCGTGTGAAATGGCACAGTATTTCCATTTCCCACTTTACAGTTATCCTTAGACAATGGCGTACTACAGGAAAACTTAACGTTATCTTGGACCAATTTCTTACCACTTCTTGCACCAAACTGATCAATTCCATGAGTCTTCTCCTAAGCTTTGCCACTTCTTCATTTACTTTTGTGACGTGTTGTTCATAGATTTCTGCCAGTGGCTTAAATGTATGTCCTCCATGCTGTTAAAAAAGAAAAAGGGAGGGAGGAGGGGAGAAATAATAGAGCATCCCATTTTAACTTTATTCCACTCCTATTAAATTACTGAAAGAGAGGGGAAGAAAGCCTCCTAGTGTATCACTCATTTTGGAAAAGTTCCAAAGCAGATTGTATGTAGGAAGCCTGTCTTTCACTTCCCTTCGTAAGTCATGAATTTGGCTTTCATACCATCAAAGCTTCCTGTCAAGAGTTATTTGGAGTCTCAACAGCCCTCCAAAAATAAACTGCTTCATTCACTGTGCAATTCTCTAACAAATAAAATAATGACAGAAGGGTTATCTTATTTTTATTATTACTATTATTAAAACACCCTTCCCAAACAAAGGCAGCACACTGTTAAACGCTTATATTCCAAACAATGACAGCAGTCTCTCCTTGAAATACTCAATCAAAAGGATAAACAGCATGGTGAATTATGCTACTAACAGAGCTTTGAAGATATTCAAGATTACAGGCCAGGACATTTAAATAATCTAAGTGTTATCTATATTCTCTGAGAAAGACTTCCTTTGCCCACAAGCTTCTCCGCGCCATGTACGGTTTGTCCAAGACATCATAAAGTTTGTAACAAGGAAGGTAATTCTGACCTCCTTTCGGCAAAAACATTCGATTTCCTTTTCTATTTATAAACAGAAGGTATCCCCTTTCACAACCAATGTCCACATTAAATTATACACGCACATGCAACTACAGTATTTGCTTGGCAATTCAACAGCCATTACAACAGTGTCATAGCATTTCTATTTCTTCAAACTGCTGCCAAACACAATGCTTGCAGTCTCTTATTGTAACATACCATGTGCACATAAGCAACCAAGTCTCTTCTTACCATTCCTCCCCAAAGCGCACACTGGTGGCAGATACACTTCTTACAGGTCCAGCAGAAAACACTAAGCTTTTCATGATGATTTTCACACCTTAAGCAAATAATACACATATCATCAACAGAAAATAACTACGAATTTTCTGCAAACCCAATTTAATATTTTCACTTGTTTTACTACCCGGTACTGAGAGTAAAGGACCATACTTTTGCAAGAATACTTATATTCAGTAAAAACCCTTTGTAAGATAACTGTTGCTCTCAGGAAGTGTCTCACACAGATAGAGAGAAAGTACATTACTAAAACTGGATTTCTAGCCAGCAGATAAAGGATATCATCAGTGAATCAAGCTCAGAATTCTAGAAGTTAATACTTCACATTTTTAAAATCCAGAGCAATGACTCATAAGCTTTTTGGACAAACTGATCTTCGTCACTTCTTAAAATCTGAGGAACAGCATCAATCAAGAAACTGAGCGCAGAGCAGGCCAGACCCGAAATACATGTCTCTCCCTTCCCCCTCCATCAGCAGCCAGGAACCTGGGGAGGGGGCAGGTATAGAACACATAATTCGTCCCCATCCATTTTTCAATGCTGCTTCTCACACTTTTCTCCTCCAAATCTCCAGAATATATCTTAAAACACATAATAGCTCTGGTAATGGGATAAAACCAGGAGAAAAGCCTGCTGAGAAAGTACTGATAGTTGCTCCTAGGAAGAGAATGTATCGGAAAATACCGGAGGCTCCAAAGACAAGGAAGGAGAACGAACAGCAGTAACGTGACAGATATAGCAATAGTAGTGCTTTCTGTGGGACTCTATGTATTTTCTTTGATCTCAAACTGGGTTTGTCAATTACAGTTTTGCAAGGGAGTAGAAGGCATCTTCTCAGAACAGCTTCTCTGCTTTTATGTGCTGAGACACCAAAGCAGCACCCACAGTCTTAATGGGACTGCCAAATGAGCAAGCCATTGAGAGAAGACTTTTATTTCAGATGTATGGTCACTAAGAAGGGCTAAAAGCCTTAGGAAGTATTACTACCCTTCAAGCTTCCCATGTCTCTCGTTTTAACTATATAGAGGCAAACTAGAAATAGTAGTAGTTTTCTAGTCAGGCACTGAAGAGCCTTTCTCGTTCCATTAAGTATGACAGAAATGAACTCCAACTTTTACTCAGACACTGAGTACAATTCAGCTTTGAAGTATGTAAAAGTTATCAGTTTATTCCCTGATTTTAAAAAATGAGCTGAAATTAAAAGCCTGCTCCTATAAGGCAAACTGCAAAACACTTTTAAGTGAAGAATGCTCCATTTACTTGTCTTTTTCATTTTCTTCATGTTTTGTGAGATTGCACAGTTGAAGCGTATCAAGCTGTTGTGTGACCTCTTCTGCCCAACGACAGTTTACGAGCTCTCGTAGCTGCAGCGGGGCTCTGCAAGAAGCATTGCTAGAGTTAGAGCAAGAACTCAGCTCCAGGAGCTAAAAGAGAAGCATTGAAGTGAATTCAGTTCATCAATTGTACACTATCAGAAAAGTCACAGGCAAAAAGCTGAAGTTGTACTAGTAATTTAAAAAAAAAAAAAGTAATGTTTAAGTCGATTTGCTCATTTGGGGGCTGGGGGGAGGCGGGAACCACAACGAACCACCCCACAATGACATACAGAACAGCTTCACGGGGAACCCAAGAACTATTTCCAGATTTCTTTATAGGCTCCTGGATAACGCTGGGCAAATAATTTCATTTCTCAGTGCTTCTTCAATTTCTCCCATTATTCAACTATCCCCAGGGCAGTGCTTCAGTGTAAAATGTAGATATATTTACCTCCTTACCAGCATTTTAGAGGTCTTGATCAAATACTTGAAAAGCTGAATATTAAAAAAGTTCTGCAGAAATGGTTGGTTAGTTGTTTTTAAATACCTCCCTTCCATTAGGGGAAAAAAAAATACGCTACCTTCCAATTTTTGGTCTATCAAGAGCTAGAATCACTAGGTACACAAAAACTAGAAATGCTAAGGGGTGCCAAGGCTTGAGGGGATGAGGAGGGGCATCACATTTAAAAAAAAACAAACAAAACCAAACCAAACAACACTTTGTAGCTACCTCCCAGACAGATCGGCAACACATAAGGTAAGTCTCACAAACTGTAGATATAAAAAAAACGTACACATTCCAGTCTGAAAACTGAAGTTTCTGGTCTCTGACTCTTGCAAGAAGAATATAAAGAGTTGTAAGGGGAATACCATCTAGTTACTCTTATTACACCAACTACGTGCACTGAAAACAGCAATGTAATACAGGAAGAACAAAGAGCTTGCTTAGCTTGTCATGAACCTAAACCATATTTTAGAGTAAGTATTATACCAGTGTAAATTTTTATAGCAACAGCAGGCAGGCCTCAAAAATCAAGCTTACAAATTTAGTGCAACCTGCACTGAAAAAAGATCGATCGTATCAGGACAGTACACCCAATTCCTGATAATTATTTCTGATATTAAAAATACCTTACCTACAATGAGGGCACTGCGCTCTTTGTTCAGTCAGCCAACGCTATGAAGGAAAAAAGAAAAACATTTTTGAAGAGACTGTAAGAAAAGAACTGCAAGCAAGTACATTCTGTCATTAATTAGGAGTTACTGCTTTTTATTAGTCTTCCTATATTTTTTCCTTTTCTTACAGATTTGTAATTTAACTGTTCAACCACTTAGTCACAGAAGAAGCTGCTATTTGTATCTTAGTAACAAAGCAACCTCTTTTCTTTAGATGTCAAAAGCACTTCAGTTAAAATTATACAGAGAATTTTGAGGTACCAAATATTCCATCAGAAACCACACACGGACTGCCATAGTCATAGACTGAAGAGCACGTTTCAATGAAAGAAAGCAAAAGATACAATAAGCGTATTTTTCAGAGTCTAAATTATTAGTCTTCCAGGTAACTTATTTCTTCCTCTCAAGCTATTTATACTTGAGCTTTTTCTATCTGGAGCACGTCCAGAGAAGGGAAATGAAGCTGGTGAGGGGTCTGGAGCCCAAGGTTGATGGGGAGCAGCTGAGGGCACTGGGGGTGTTCAGCCTGGGGAAGAGGAGGCTGAGGCGAGACCTTATCACCCTCTGCAACTGCCTGACAGGAGGGGGGAGCAGGGGGGGGTCGGGCTCTGCTCCCAGGTAACAAGCGATAGGATGAGAAGAAACAGCCTCAAGTTGTGCCAGGGGAGGTTTAAGTTGGGTATTAGGAAAAATTTCTTCACTGAAAGGGTTATCAGGCACTGGAAAGGGCTGCCCAGGGAAGTGGTTGAGTCCCATCCCGGGAGGGATTTAACAGATGAGCAGACAAGGCACTTAGGGACACGGCTTAGATGTGGACAGTATGGTTGGGGTCGATGATCTTAAAGGTCTTTTCCAACCAAATGATTCTATACACAAGTTAGATACCTGCAGTTCAATGATCAAATCCATAAGGACTCTCTGAATGTTTCTCTTCCAGAAAGCTCCAAAGACAAGTAGCTGAGGGAAGAACTTCACCTGCCCACTCGCTACAACTCACAAGTGTAAAAGCTCAGCAGTTGAAGGGCTTGTATTTGTCAGCTCACTACTACATTTAAAGATTCTCATGAATAATCTCTCACCACCCAGCAACAATATGTCATGTAACATTCTTTATATGTAACACAAATCCTTCACCTATAGTTCCTGTCAGAGCTTTCAAAGGGAATGATGATTGTTCCGATTGCTGGAAATACCACCGGAGGTCTGAAAACCTCAGCTGAACCTTCTCCTGCTACGCTAACACGTAACAGCGTGTGGACTTGGAACCGAATTGTTACACATTGGTAACCATGACCTTAACAAATGAATTTGAGGTACTTCAGATGCTGCTTCAGCCTGCTATACCAGACTCCTTCAAGAAAGATGTAGCCCGTATCTGATCATATCATACTAGTTTGGTAAGCATTTAAAAACATCTAGTTTAGACTAGATATAAGGAAGAAGTTCTTTACAATGAGGGTGGTAAAACACTGGAACAGGTTGCCCAGAGAGGTAGTGGAGGCCCCATCCCTGGAAACATTCAAGGCCAGGTTGGACGGGGCTCTGAGCAACCTGATCTAGTTAGCGGTGTCCCTGCTCCTGCGGGGGGGTTGGACTAGATGACCTCTAGGGGTCCCTTCCAACCCAAAACATTCTATGATTCTATGACAAGAGGTGATGTTATGACCTTCCAGCATTCCATGCTGACAGATGCAAAGCCAGCATTTGATTCCTGTTACAACTTCTGTCTTCCACAAAGGCATCACTGACTCTCAAAAGATGCTGAAGAAGGGATTGTTATATGTCTGTTTCTTAAAACCGATTATTCCAGATAGTCCCTATAATTAGCACTACTGGATGCAACGCACAGTCTGCCTAGTTTTTCTTCAGGGTGTCATAGAAGATTTTGAAAGGGAAACTAACGAGCACAGAGCAGGAAAAAGGAATCCTTGGAACTCCAGGAAAAGGGACAAGAAAGAAGCAAGAACGTGTTCCTAAGATCAGTAGTTTTTAAGTTCATACATTTGCAAGAATAAACTATAATAAGCAAACTCACCCGAATACAACTGAAACAGCACAGCTTGGAGCAATGAGGACACAGGCGTGCATCGCGCAATTTCTCCATACAAATAAAACATCGGAACACTTCCGCAATGCTCTGCAAAGGGTAGATTATCACTGTTGTTAAGCCACATACTTCAAATGTATCAGAGTTGCATTTATTTTCCAGGCAAAGCACCAGGTTTCACAAGTACAGTCCCATTCCAAACAGCTATGGATAGCACATGTCAGAGGGAGATACCAAGTCACATACCACGCTCTCCCCCAAACCTTCTCCTACACTACCCCAGCTCTCAGCACCCACTGCATAATGCTATTCTTATTCTTCTTCGATGAACAGTTATTTTGTGTGGTTTATCTTTTTCCAAGAGGGCCTTTCTGTAGCCAAGATATTATTCCTACTCATGTTCAGATGGGATTGAACAGTTGCCAGAAGAAACTGTGCTGTACCTGCAGATTCTGAACGCAGGCGTTTCAATGTACTGGCACTGAACTAATTCAAAAGCATTCTAAGTGCATGTATGCATGTAGCAGAATGCTAATGAGAGGGGTTGAATTGGACAGGGCTTGCTTTTTTTTTTTTTTTTTTTAACTTTTACAAGACTTACATTCTTTTAAGGTCTACCATTAGCACTTGCTCCACAATTTCCACACCCCCTCACCCTCCATTTAACTAACCTTGGGCAAAAAAAATACAATTTAATATATTGTTTTACTACACCCATTTGAAGAGAGAAGCATTTTGTTTGAGAATACAATCACCTCGTCTCTCTCCATTCCCAAAGTGAGAAAGGTATTTTGAAATGCCAAGCAATGTCTGCTTTCCATACTCATAGATTTTTCACTGATAAAGAAGTTTTACATCCTGTATTGTACAGGAGTCAGATCTCTTCTGGCCTTAACTATCAGAACTTTGAGAGATTCTTCAGATGGGCTAATTTTTTTCCCCTCAGAGTTGAAATTATGAATCAGCACAAAAGTGAGGCAGAGCGTCAACACCACAGTATCCCCCATACGTTAGCGTCTTCTGTAATGGTCGCGAAACCATTAAAATGCAACACATGCGTTCACAGGAAATTATGACACGAGGTCTTTTATATTCTTCTCCTGTTTGGCTGCTATTAATAGGGCCCACAGCAATGCGTGCAAGCTGCCCAGGCTGCAGCCAGACACCGCTGGGGACTGCGCCTTCAGGCGTGCCAGGCCGGGCAGCGCCAGGTCTCCATCCACCTCCGGGACAGGCACCCCCGAGGCTCCGCCGGTTTATTTTCTAACCTCGACTGCGTGAAAGAACTGCGTGCCCCCTCCTCCCGCCCCGCTCACCAGCGCACACCGCGCTCCGCGCCAGGCGCATCCCTGCCCACC